GATCAAACTCATCAAAGTAAGGGTTTATATAAAAAACAAAAAACGTATCATAACAAAACAATAAACAATCATGTGATCTCGTGTTATGATACGGAATTTTTGTAAAATTATCTTCTAAAAATATTAAGTTTAAAAATTCCGTATACATTCCGCATGATTAATTTTTTCCGTATACATTTCTTATACATTAGTTTTTTAAAAAAATGTTCAAAAATGAATTACTTATTAAATATACGGAATTTGTATACGGAATCTATAGAAACGTACATAAAATGTATACAAAACGTATCCTTTCCGTATACATATTTTTTATAGGGTAATATAATTCCTAATACAGTAATATGTAACTTTGCTTCTAACAATACAAAGCAAGCATCATTTTTTTCAATGTAAAAGCAAAACTAAATTCAGCGCAATAAAAGTCTATTTATTAGTCTAATGCATTACAATAATAGTCTATCTTTTTTATATACAAGTATAGTTATAATTTTATGTATAGCGATGTTGCGATGTAGACCTTACCATCGGCCTAAATTAGAAGATCATCGTTGGTACAATCTTAAGGCATTATTAAATTGGGCCGATAATTTAGGCCGATGGCAAGGTTTGGGACATAGTCAAGTTTTGTCTACAACAGCGACTTTTCAAAAAAAAAAAAAGCCCTTCAAATTCTTCTTTTTTTCTTAAGGACGCCTCCTAGGTCCTAACTTCGGCCTTTTGGATATCTGACATGGAATTGTAAGTATAACGGGAAGGGAGGGGGATTTTTTTAATTGAAAACGTTATTAACATTCCTTTTTGGCTTTTTACGGCTTCAATATTTAAAAGTAAATCTCAAATTAAAAAAGTCAAGCTTACACAAGCATTAATGCTTTTGATAATAATATTGAATGGGTTAAAGTAAAATTTCTATGAAGTTCGCTATAATTGAAAAGAGACTACTTTAGTAAGATCAACGTTTATTTTATCTTCGGAGCCCAATATAATAAACTAATTTTGGCTTATGACAAATTTTACTTAAACTAAATCCACTATAATTATTTTTATCACAACTTACTGATTTTATTATACCGAGTCATATGTGTTTATTCATAATACAACAATATTAATTTAACTCTGGCCAGCATTAAATTAGTTTTGGCCTGCATCAAGTACACGGTAGATTATAATATATCACATGATAAATTTCGAAACTTTATTGGTAGTAATAATAAATTACATAAATAATTTAATCAATTTCATTTATAAAATCATAAATATTACTAATAAATGAATCTCTATAATTTAAAACTTGAATATCATATGATTCATATTTCTTTACTTTATCTTCACAAGTAAAAAAATCATTAATAACTCCAAAATAAGTTTCTGTAAAAGCAAAATATTTAACTCTTTTCTTTTTCATAATAAATTCTTCCATATAAGAATAAATACTCTTACATTTATCATCATTCTTTTTATGTTTGATTAATAATTTTTTAACAAAAGTATTTTGAAAATTTTTTAAGAATATTTTTAAATCATTTTCATCAATTGAATTAAGAATCAAATGTAAATATTCTAATTTAAAAGGAAGAATTTGTCCTAAATTTTGTAATATAATTGAACTAATTTTAATACTATCATTAAGATTATTTTCAAGGTAACTTAAACAAAATGCATCAATTGTAAGGTAACTAAGATTTTGTGAAATATTTTCAATCAAATTAATTATTAGATGAGTATTCTCATTAGAAAACCTAATACGACCCAAATATTTAATTTTATTACAATATTTTATAATTAATTGTAATAATTGTTGTAATAATGGTCCTGATTCATTATTTACAATTCCAAAATTTTCTAAATAATTTCCCGACTTTTGTATTAACGGTTCCAATAAATCATCATCATCAATTTCATTCAAAAATAAAGATTTTAATTTAAATGATTTAGTAATGTTGATAATCTGTTGAATAAATTTAGAATCTAGAGAAAAACAATAAATAATATGAATTGATTCTAAAACATTCAATTGATTGAATACTTCAGTTAAAACAGTAATATTATTAAAATCAACATAATAAAATATGATTGTGTTTAATGTATTTGAACAATAAGGATTTTTTAATGATAATAGTGAATGGTGTAAGGGGAAATTATAACCAATTAAAATCTTTTTAAGATTTTTTTGAGATTGAATTATTTGTGATAATGACAAACATTTTTCAGTAACTGGATGAATATCATCATTTTCATCTAAATCTGAATCTGGATCTGAATCATCTGAACTAAATTGAAAATAAAGTGATGAAATTGACTCACAATTAGAGTAAAGAAAATTTGAAAATCTTGTTACGCTATCAGTTTCTTTATCCAAATCAATTTTAAAATTTTTAATATTATAAATGAATTTAGGATTTTGTAATATTAATTGTAAAATCTCATCAAAATATTCAAATCCTGTACTATTAAACAACATAATTTCAAAACTATTCAAAATTACTTCATTTTCAATGAATATTTGAAATAATAATCTATGAATTAATTTTGTAAAGTTGGGCGTTTGTGAAAGTAATAACTTCTTCGTATTTTGTATAAAATAACCTGAATTTGGTGTTTCAGTTTTTGAAGTTTCAAAAGTTGTAATCCACTTATTAATCGCGTAATTGATCTTACATGTGTCTAAATGTTGAATAAAACTAGGATAATTAAACAATGTGTTTGAAGAAAATAGATCATTACGGATTATATATTCATTTAATTTTTTTTCATCATCATCTTTCAAATAATGTAAATAAATTTCAATAAAATTATAATTTTCAGTAAGAATTGAAAATGGATCCTTCCATAATAATGGAATTGCCAGACGACACCATAATCTATTAACTAATATACATGAATGTAATGTTTTGAAATCATCATGAAAATATTCTATAATTTCGTTTATTAATTCAGGTAAATCTCCTGAAAATAACTTTGAACATGTCATATTGTTAAAGGAAAAGGGGATTTCAAAATTAGAAGTTACGTTAAAATATGAGCAAATTTATTTGAATTTCGGAAAGTTCGACTGGCAATGTCGCACAAGATAAAGTTGTTTATGATCACTGCATGATCGACCGTTACAAAAAAAAAAAAAAAAAAATTTTTTTTTTTTTTTAAGATTTAACGAATCTTCCAAGACTTAGTGTTACACACGCTATTTCATTGTAAATACATTTTATAGTTATTTGGTGGGGGCTTTTCAATTCTGCCGGAACTTTATTTTTATTGTGTGACCGATGAAAATATGCCACGTACTAACACGATAGACGCATGGTCAAACGTCAAAAATATCAATCAAATGTCTTAATAATAGAAATTACTACGTGATCAATGAACTTGTAAATTGTGCACGCAAATAATATTTTAAAAATAAGCTATAGCATGAACAAAAATATTAAATTCTTTAAAATTTATTAAATTTATCATAATAAAAATGATAATTAGCTTAGCGAATAAAAATGATCGGCATCATTACACTAATGATTAATCTTTCTTTGTTTATTATTTTTTTTTTTTGGCTTATTAAACCTTAATGATTAATAAGCGTGTACGTAATTTTTAGACTAATCGATTATTTTAATTGGTTTAGATATGTGCCAAAACGAGACATGCTACACATTACAAATTTCAGGGTAACCAAAGTATCCCCAAATTTTTTTTTAATTACATAAACAAAATAATTTTCTAAAAAAAGAATTTGCCGAAAGGTAATTACTTTATTTTAATATATATACATACAGTACTTTTTAAAATAATATTAATAAATAAATATTACAGGTTAAAGAAATCTTTTTTGTGTTAAAAAAAAAATTGGTCCGTTAAGAAAAGGACAAAATTAAAAAAAATGGTAAAAAAAAAAAAATAATAATAGTTTCTCTTAAAGAAAAACCTTCTTTAAAAAAATAGTTTTAAAACCATTAAAAAAGTTTTCTTTACGTAATTAGTAATATACTTCAGTGTTAAAAAAAAATTTATTATGGGTCACATGGATTTTTTATCATGGTTTACTGCTCCGGGCTTTACAGTAGGTGAACGGGTACTGTTGATCAAATAGATATTGAGTTTGCGGTAAGGTTGGTCAAACTTTCCGTACCTGTAAAAAAAATCCACTAAAAAAAATATCCTTATGATCTATTAGTTAGGAAACAATATTAACTTAATATTCATCAGTCTAACCAAAAGAAAACAACAAATTACCAATCAATATAATAAATATGGAATAGACCGGAACAACGCCATATCACACGTTACACCACTCAAATTTATGCAGGGTAATCTCTATAAACTAATAAGTATAAGTCACTATATAAAAATATTGTGTAACAAATGTCGGAAAATCCGCATTGAAAAGTGAGTAAAGTGAGTTTGATACTTTAGTGGATAATAATTATGAGAAGACCGCTTTTTTGGGATTTATACACTTAGTAACTATAAGTATTTAATAATATTATGCTTTAAATGATGCTCCAATGGTATTTCTTGCACCTTCTTGAAATAAATTATAAATATGAATTTCTGATTTTAGTTTCATATTGCAAATTTGCAAATCAATCTCATCAATTCTTTTTTAACATTCCAAATTTAAAATCAATAATTTTACTTTAATTTAATTTAATTTAAGAATGTTTAAATGTTTATAAAAGTCACAACACAATCTCAAAAATTTTTCATTTCAAGCTTGATGTTTTTTTTATGTAATACATTATTGTTATTAAAAAAATCTAAATACTCAAATACTTTAAATACGATTATGTTTTGTTATATTTGACCTTAAAAATATATAATTACTAAAAGAATTAATAAGACCTTAACATTGATGCTTGATACTTTATACAAAAATTTCTATATTTGGTGATTAAACTCAATGATCATTTTTCATTGGTAACTGAAAAGAGATATCATTACATTATATTTCAATTCTTCCATGTGATGTAGCATTCTGTAATTATATATCTTAATAAATTTATTAAACATTTGTGTCAATCAAATATTATTATTATCAAAATTAGTCAATTAAACTGAGTAATACTTAGTAAATATGATCATTTATGATTCATGTGTCAATTGTGTCATGCGTGTTATGATTCACCATTGCTATAACATATATATGATATGATAAAACTGTGATATGGTAAGTATAAAAATGGCCACTTCTCTTTCTTCAATAACATATGCACAAAAGTAATAATATATGCTCAAAAGTATAACATATTATAACATGGCATGCTCAAAAGTATTTTCAGAAAATTTACGTGAATATACAGATGAAATTATACAGTATTTTAGATATGATTATTCGACATTATATTCATGTATATTGGTCAACAGATTATGGTGTCGTTTAGCAATTCCATTATTATGGGAAGATCCATTTTCAGTTCCTACCCAAAATTATCAAGTTATTGAAATTTTATTAGTTAATTTAAATGAAAAAGATAAAGCACATTTAATTGAACATGGGATTATTAAAAATTTATTTTATTCAAATACTTTATTTAATTATCCTAATTTTATTAAATGTTTAAGTACACATAATATTAGAATTTCAATCGATAATTTCGCCACTTCTGGAAAATCTGAAATTTATAAGTCATTATTTAAAACGTTCATTGAGAATGAAGTAAATTTATATTCTTTTGAACTTGTATTAGATATAAGTATGGATTATGAATATTTCAATTATACTTTGGAATTGATTTTACAAAGTCCATTTATTATTCATAATATCAGAAATTTGGTAATTCATATTTATAGATCTGATAGAATGAATAATATAATTCCTTTTTTAGAATTTTTATCTTCTAATTGTAATTCAATCTCATCAATTCATTTTTTACTTGCTACTAAAATTCCATTAATTGAAAAATACTTATCAAATATTATTGCTTTACAACAAAATCTTAGAACAATTTCATTTGGATATAATGATCCTTTTTATAATTCTATGTTGTCATTTAGTAATTTTTCGAATACTCTAAACACGATTATATTTTATCATATTGATTTTAAAAATATAAAACTTTTAAATCAACTTTTCAATCAATTAAATGTTTTAGAATCAATTCATATCATTTATTGTTCATCTCTTGATTCAAACTTTATTCATCAAATCATCAATATTGTAAAACCAATCAAATTGAAATCTTTATTTTTGTCGGAAATAATACAGATTGAATTATTACGATTATTATTACAAAATTCTGGTAATTATTTAGAAAATTTTGAATTAGGATTTATGGCAGATGAAGTTACTGAATTAAAACAACAATTACTTGAATTAATTTTAAATTATTGTACAAATGTTAGATATTTAAATATAGTTATATTTGATAAAATTAATATTCATCCAATATTCAACTTAATTGATAATAATTTGAAAAATATTAATTATATTATTATTGAATTTAATTTTATTGAATCATATGATTCTGGTAAAGTTTGTTCAATAATATTACAAAATTTAGGACAAATACTTCCTTCTAAATTAGAATATTTACGTTTGGATCTCAATTTTAATATAAATGATTTGGAAATATTTTTGAAAGAATCTCAGAATACTTTTATTAGAAAATTATCAATTAGAAAAACTGCAATGAAAAAAATAACATCATTTATTAGAAGATTATCAATTTCAAAAACAACGATGGAAAAAAAAGGTGTAGATAGTATTTTATCATGTATAAAGAAATATATTATGAAAAATAAAAGGGTTGAATATTTGGCTATTAATGTAATTTTTCAAAATAATGATAGAATTGAAATTGAAGATCTATATTCCTTAAAATATGAAGTAGATGAATTTAAATTACATGATATTATTGTTCGAAAATATGATGATTTATATATTCAAGCTTTTGATTTTGTAAATAATGATAAGATATGCAAAAGTTATGATTATTAAAAGCTATTATCATTATTCATTTCAAATTAATGATTTGTCAAAAAATGTTTCAGTTCAATAATAAGTTAGATATAACAAATATTTTCATTGGGATCATTTGAAAAAAAATATATTGAATATTCTGAGAATTATTATTAAGTAATAAATGTAATGGTTTATTTTAAAAATAGATATTTTATTTTATTTTATTGAAAGCAGTGTGACTAAGTTGGTTAATATAGAAACTAAATATTAAATGTAATAAAAAAAAGTCTTAAAATGTAGTGATTTTGCAATTACATGATTTATAATCATTTTTGTGACTTAAATAATAAGAAATAAGCAGTTATGATTAATTTTAAAATTATTAGTAAGAAATTTCTAAAAATAAAACATTTTGAAGTACCTACTCCACATCATGATTATTGTTTTTTGTAGAAAAACTCAACTTCGGACTTATATACTTGACAGTGGGATCATTAAATGAAAAAAAAAATACGGGCTGCTTTTTAAATTAGATTAATAGATCATTTATTTAGATGATTTCAAACCCTGACTAGCATTAACTACAGTAGTATATTAACTAGTAAGTCCTTTACTTCCCTTTTCACCAGAGAAATATTACCTTAGGTGGCTTTTTCACAGTTTTCTATTAGCGCTACTTTCTGATTTACATTTTTGCATCTCCTATAGTTATTACTGATAATGTATTTCTCTGTGAAATAAAATAAAGAATAAAAACAAAAGTGTTCTATGATTTTACGTTATATCACATATTTTTTCTTTGAAATTTTCTTTTTTTTTTGTTACCAAATTTTTATTCTTATTTTATTATTCTTTTTTTAAAAAAAAAAAAAAATCTTTTTTAAAAAAAACTCTATTTATGAATAATTTTATTCCACGCCTAATAGTATTCAAAATAATTAAAATAATTTTATGCATTGAAGTTTTATTTATTATAACCAAAACTAGAAGTTCATAATATTGTTAAAATCATTAATTTTAAAAACTTTTTATTTGTATATAAAGGAATAAAAGATTGAATAAATCCAAAACAAAAAATTATTTATTTAAATAAAAAAAAGAAAATAACAAAAAACTGCTTTAAAAGCCATTTTTAAGTCATTTTAGAAATAATGAATGAAGAACGAACACGTGTTTAATAAAGATTCAGTTTGTCATGAATATTCTGTGTGACCATATATACGATATTAAATTCATTAATTACCAATCACAAACCACTTCACTCTTCTTTTACTTTAGATCTTCCTAAACTTTTTTGTAGCATGCTGAATTCCTTCTTTTTTAACGTAGAATTTTATCCGGTATAACTTCTAATATTAAAAGGAACCTTGGACTACAAATTAAGATCAGTCGTGTGACAACAAGCACTAGTTTTACCACGTTTTCCTATTTGTTAAAGGAATTTTTAAAATTAATGTGGTATTTTGCAGACATTAATATAAAAAGCATACGTACTATCATTTTGAGTTTTAATTTTTAATTCTTCGATATCACGCTTTTTTGAAGAATTCGTGGTTATAGTCAAAATAGGCTTACTTTGCGGTTGATACTGAGAGTTAAAGGAGCATTGTTCGGCGGAATTTATATTATTGGAGGATAAACTAAAAAATGTGTACAATAAAAATTTATTAATTTTTTTGTTCATAATTTTATATTATTAAACTGATTACCTTTGAATATTATTAATATCAAATTCATATTCTTTGTAATGTATTCTAAAATTAAAATAAAATACTGAATTATTATTTGGTGGTTTAATTAATATTTTAAACTTTTTACACCACTAGTCAATTATAATATAATATACCTTGCTTCATATTAGACGAAGTCATTGAAGATAAATTTATAGGTTTAGAAATAAAAGAGCTTAATGCTCTACTTGTATAAATTGCCTTTTGATGAGACTGTTCACTAAATTCAGGACCAAGTTTCTTTAACTGTGTTAATTCCAATCTTGTTTCTTCAGCTTGTTGAAATTCTTCAATAATTTCAAATAATAGAGGCATATCATAAAAATAACTACACATATATTTCCAATCGATAGCAGAACCATAGATTTCATCTATAGTTGGTCTTTTTGAAGGATTAGAATCCCAACATCTTATCATTAAGTTAGCAAAACATTCAGGAGTATCGTTTGTAATTTCAGGCCGCTTTCCATCAAGAATTTTATAAATAAGATGAATATCATGTTCAACATTAGCAAAAGGTTTACAACCTGTTGTAAGTTCCCACATTATCATACCAAAACTATATACATCAGTTTCTTTTGAAAATGTACCACCTTTAAATATTTCTGGTGCGATATAAGGTATTACTCCGTATGTTTCATTACTTGATAAAGTATTATTTGCAGGTTGTGATAATCCTAAGTCCCCAATTCGCCAATCGTCTAAATAGTCTATGTTCCATAATGATAATAATATATTTCCACTATGAAAGTCTCGATGTATAAAATTATTTCTATGAATACCATGAAGTCTAAAACAAAAAAATTTAGTAGTTAATAAACTTAAATATAAAAAATACATGATATTTATACATTTAATATACATACCCAGATGAAATATCATTTAAAATATTTATTTTATCAATCCATGTAATGTTTATAAAATTCTTTTGCAAATAATTATGTAAATCTCCACCTTCCGCATAATCCATTATCAACATATACTCTTTTGTTATGGGATCTTGTGTAATACCATGACACATAATCAAACCACAACCTTTATTATTAAGTTGACAAAATGATTTTAGCTAGTAAATTACAAATATTTTAGTTAAATTTTTAAATACATTGTAAAATCCAAAATATTAATATTAAATATACCTCATCTAAAAAATATTTACTAATATTTTGTGAATTATGTAATCTTTTTATAGCAACATCTCTATCTAATGAACCATCAACCCAAATTGCTTTATAAATAATACTAAATCCACCTTCTGCTATTTTCCTTAAATTTTCAATTTGAGAATATGGAATCCATTTTATTACTAGTCTAAATTTACGCAAATGTTTTATAATAAATTTATATACTTTTAATGGATTTATATTTGTATTATTATTCATATAATCAGCAATCAAATATTGTTGATTGTTGTCAAATATTGTAGAAGCAAGAAGTTCATCTATGATGTAATTTCCACTGAACATATTTGTAATATCAATAGTAATAAATAATATCCTTTTACATTTCATACATTGGGATTGGTCCGTAATTCCAAAAATAATATTTGTTGTTAAACAATACCTACATCCAGTATAAATTACATAGCATTTAGAACACCATTTTTGATAGTAAGATTCTGACTCTTGGTGTAGTATGTATTTTAGGTCTAATTCACAAAATGAGCACTTATTACAATTATCCCACCACGGTAAATATAGAATTGAAATGGATGCTCTAATCAAAGTTGATTCTACCCATCCAGAAAAAATTTGGTAACAATCTTGGCCATGCTTAGATAAATATGATGACCATTGTTTATCACATAATTCACAATCTATTTTTTTATGAGTACAATACAGTGATAAATAGCTATTATTGAACGACAAGGTATTTGGGATTACTTGTCTAAAATATGAAACCTCAGAACAATATTCACACCATTCTTGAATATTCATTGTATTAAAATTATTCCTATTTACTTCATGTTTGATACACTGAGCATTATTTGTAATTATATATGTATCCAAGTATGTATCATTGCCCTTTGTATCTTTAATATACAAAAACAAACAATTTTTACAATATTTTTGTTTAAATTTAAGTGTTACGGAGTATTTATCTCCACAATAATTACACATATTCTCATCATTTTTAAAAGGAATAAATAAAACAGGTACGGGGCTAGATTTTAATCTTGGCGTAGGATCAAATGTATTATTATCTGCGTTCATAATGTTGTATTTCAAGTAATTTATAGAAGTTGAGAAGTTGAACAAAAATTATACAACGGTATTTATATAATTGTGCATATTGACGATCATCTTCGGTTATTCGGTTTTATAAATTTCCCAACTATTCAAGAACCGGATGATCGTTTAGTATTTGCTGCGTCCGATCGACGGTAAAATTACTGCTATTCTATAAATATAAGCAATCGATAAAATTTAGGCCTGAGATTCTAGGAAAAATAAAAAAAAAAAAGAAAAAATCGGGTTTTAAATGCTCTTTTTTTTATCGTATGAGCTTGCTTTTTTTTTAACAAATTATAAACTTTTTATGTTTCATCGACTCTGTTTAGCTCCAGAGTTATTGATTAGACGATCAGATGGTAATAGTAATAAATTGTTTTATATAAACGATTATAATTTGAATATGACAAAAAAAAAATATTATCGTTATATCAAACTTTTAAACAACAATTATATTTTTTAAAAAAAATATAACTTGATCATCACAAAACACTATAAGAAAAAAGCATATACTTTCTAAACATAACAAGAGAACGCTTTTTATTGATTTTTATGCGTTTATATTTTTTATTTTTTTCATCTTTTTTTGGTGAAAAAAATTTAAATTTGATCGTATAAAATACTATACAGATATTAATCAGCTTTGAATTACTAGCTGTAACCTATTACGTTGCAACAGGATAAATCAATATGATGAAATTTCTGGTATACTATATTTAAAAAAATTAATTATTACGATAATTTATCTATAATTCGATTATGATATGAGCAAAAAATAAAATTGATTAAAATTTTACCATATTAAATAAGATAAAATTATAATAATTAATAATAAAAACCAACTGATCTTTTAGTGTTTTCAAATATTCGGTATTTATGACAAAATCAACAAAACATTTTACTCTGGCTATTTATATGTCAATTTTAAATAATTCAAGTTCCAAATAGTTTGAATTATCAATTTTACTGATCCGTTTTTCATAAGTTGGATAAATTGTATTTTCACAACTGATTCTTAATTTATTATTAATACTTTGCCATAAACTCAGTTCATAAATACCAAATGATGGACCCTTGCTATATCCATCGATATTACGTATAGCTTTCTTTTCATCCTTTACGCGACTTAAAATGTAATTTTCAATATTTTCATTATCAAAGGAGAATATAAAACTATCTTTAGTAATACCATAATTACCATCAAATTTCCATCCAATTGGATTATATCCTCCAAGAATTTCGTTACTACCTTCAACTTTAACCAATGTTACAGTATGAAGTTGATCTATACAAATTTCATGGAACTTTTTAAACCTGTTAAACACTCCGCTAGACCCATCACGAGAATCACGATATAATAATTTGAATTCATGTGAAGTAGTCAGCTTATCTGTAATTTCTAATCTATCAATCCATTTTGAGATTATTTCAGCATGTTGAGGTGTAATTATCTTAGAATCGATATTTTTAATCTTGTTAGTAGTTGAAACTTTTTGCTTGTTCAATAAACTACTATCATATCCCATTGATCGTCCTGTAGAAGTAGTACCTGATGCAAATGACATATATTCTTGTGACTCGTTATCGCTATTTGTAACTCTAGGAATTTCTAATGTAGATATTTGTTTTGAAATAGATATACGAGGTAATGATTCCTTGCTGTCATCATCCAAAAAATAATTTAGTAAATCATTATATAATTCCTTTGGTAAGATTTTTTTATAAGATTTTACTTTCTTCATAAATTCCCTTGAAGTTAAATTTCGAAATCTAATAAAAGGAATACAATGATGTAAAGCATTCTTTAAAGCATTAATATCATCTTTTGAAAAGCTTGTAGGATCAGAAGAGAGTTCTGGATTTTGAGCGAGTCCCCATTTAATCACGTATTCCCATACTTGAATTTCTTTCATTTGAAGATTATCATTTTTGATAAGCGTGATTAAAAGTCTTTCCGGAATTGTAGAAAAACTTGGAGAATTAAATATCTTTTCTGGATCTTTAGAAATAAAATCAGTACAATATTTTTGAAGTTTTAAGAAAGAATCGTTTTCAAAGCTTGTCTGATACACCAAATCAAAATTTTGTTCCAACCAGTTTGTTTTGTTTTTAATTAAAAAGGATTCAATATAAGGAATTAACTCTTGAAGGTTAAGTTCGCTAGAAGTAACCAAGATTTTAATGATATCTGAAATATCATATTCTTCCAAAAAAAGTCTTCCCCCATAAATATATCTGAAAAAGAATTAGTCGTTTGTAATTAAAAATATATACATACATAAGTTAGCGCAAAAGAATAAGATATAAAAGTATTTTACCTTAATAATACATGAAAAAATTCGGGTGAAATATTTGGTAATTTAATATTTGTCAAAATTTCATCATTTTTCTTTTTATTAGTTGATAAAATTCTTCTCAAATAAGAAGATCGGTAATTTAAAATAACCATATGAGCACGAAATACTTTCACATAAGGGTCGCTACCAACTTCAATTGTTATATCATAATATTCTTCATCATTTAAAATTTCAAGTAAATTTTGTGATAATTTTGGTAAAAATTTATTATCATCCATTATAATCTTGAAAGGAAAAAGAATGAGAAAAAAATTTTTTTTTTTTTTTTTTATCAAACTGCTGATCGATTAAATTACCTATTGATACAGATCAGAGATGTGCAACAGAGATCATACGCTCCACAAACTTCGCATTTAAGTAATTAATGACTTACCATAAACTGATTAACCTTTAAATTGATTTCGAACTAAAAATAACTAAAATAACTATATTTTTATATCAGGATAAACATAATTTTTTTTTTATTATAAAATATTCAGAATTAATTTTTTCTATCTATGAAAAAAATCAACAAAACATTTTACTCTTTATTTAAATATCAATTCTAAATAATTCAAATTCTAAAAAGGTTGATGGAACATCAATTGTGCTGATTCGTTTTTCATAGGCGCTGTCTTTATTATCGGTTGTACCTTTGCAATTGATTCTCAATGAACCATCGAGAGATTGGTATAAACGTAGGTCATTATTACCAAATGATGGACCCGTACCATTATATCTAACGATCCTACTTATAGCTTCCTTTTCATTCTTTACGCGACTTAAAATGTAATTTTCAATATTTTCATTATCAAAGGAGAATATAAAACTATCTTTAGTAATACCATAATCACTATCAAAATCCCATCCAATCGGATTATATCCTCCAAGAATTTCGTTACTACCTTCAACTTTAACCAATGTTACAGTATGAGGTTGATCTAGTATATAGTTTTTATGGAACTTTTTAAACCTTTTAATCCCCACACTAGACCCATCACGGGAATCACGATATAATAATTTGAATTCATATGAAGTAGTCAGTTTATCTGTAATTTCTAATCTACCAATCCATTTTGAAATTATTTCAGCATGTTGAGATGTAATTATCTTAGAATCAATATTTTTAATCTTGTTAGTTAAAACTTTTTGCTTATTCAATAAATTATTAGCATATCCCATTAATCGTCCTGATATAAATGATATATATTCTTGTGACTCGTTATCACTATTTGTAACTCTATTAATTTCTAATATAGATTTTTGTTTTGAAATTGATATACGAGGTAATGATTCCTTGCTGTCATTATCCAAAAAATAATTTAGTAAATCATTATATAATTCCTTTGGTAAGATTTTTTTATAAGATTTTACTTTCATCAAAAATTCCCTTGAAGTTAAATTACGAAATCTAATAAAAGGAATACAATGATGTAAAGTATTCTTTAAAGCATTAAAATCATCTTTTGAAAAGCTTGTAGGATCAGAAGAGAGTTCTGGATTTTGAGCGAGTCCCCATTTAATTACGTGTTCCCATACTTCAATTTCTTTCATTTGAAGATTATCATTTTGGATAAGCGTGATTAAAAGTCTTTCTGGAAATGTAGAAAAATTTGGAGAATTAAATATCTTTTCTGGCCCTTTAGAAATAAAATCAGCACAATATTTTTGAAGTTCGGAGAAAGAATCGTTTCCAAAGCTTATCTGATATATTAATTCAAAATTTTGTTCCATCCAGTTTTTTTTGTTTTCGATTAAAAAAGATTCCATATAAGGAATTAATTCTTGAAGGCTAAGTTCATTAGCAATAACCAAAATTTTAATGATATCTGAAATATCATATTCTTCCAAAGAAAGTCTTCCGCCATAAATATATCTGAAAAAAAAAAAAATAAAACGTTTGTAATTAAAAATACAAATACTTTTGTGCAAAGAATAAATATATAAACTTTGTACCTTAATAATATGTGAAAAAAATCGGGAGAAATATTTGGTAATTTAATATGTGTTAAAATTTCATCATTTTTCTTTTTATTAGTTGATAAAATTCTACGCAAATAAGGAGAACGATAATTTAAAATAACCATATGGGCACGAAATACTTTCACATAAGGGTCACTACCAACTTCAATTGTAATATCATAAAATTCTTCATCATTTAAAATTTCAAGTAAATTTTGTGATAATTTCGGTAAAAATTTATCATCATCCATTATAATCTTGAAAGGGCAAGAATGAGAAAAAATTTGGTCAAACTTTTTTTTTGAACAAACTTGATCGGTTAAAATTACCTCCGTAAAGTAACTTAATACGGATCAGTGATGTGTAACAGAGATCATACGTTCCACAAACAAACTCCGCATTAGAATTCTAAAATACGATCTTTGTGACTTACCATAAACTGATTAACCTTTAAATTAAAAATAACTATTTTTATATAAGTATAAATAATAAATTATTTTTTTTTTTATTATAAAATATTGACAAAAATCAACATAACATTTTGCTCTCTATACTAAATATCAATTTTAAATAATTCAATTTCTAAAAATTTTGAATTAACAGTTTTACCGATTCGTTTTTCATAGATTCTGTCTACGTCTTTATTATCGTTTATATATTTGCAATTGATTCTCAATTGACCATTAATAGTTTGGCATAAACTCAGGCCACCATCGCCAAATGATGGACCCTTACTATATCCATCGATCTTACGTATAGCTTTCTTTTCATCCTTTACGCGACTTAAAATGTAATTTTCAATATTTTCATTATTAAATGAAAATATAAAACTATCTTTAGTAATACCATAATCACCATCAAATTTCCATCCAATCGGATTATATCCTCCAAGAATTTCGTTACTACCTTCAACTTTAACTAATGTTACAGTATGAAGTTGATCTATACAAATTTCATGGAACTTTTTAAACCTGTTAAATACTCCATCAGACCCATCACGAGAATCACGATATAATAATTTGAATTCATATGAAGTAGCCAGTTTATCTGTAATTTCTAATCTATCAATCCATTTTGAAATTATCTCAGCATGTTGAGATGTAATTATCTTAGAATCAATATTTTTAATCTTGTTAGTTGAAACTTTTTGCTTATTCAATAAATTATTATCATATCCCATTAATCGTCCTGTAGAAGTACCTGATGTAAATGATATGTATTCTTGTGACTCGTTATTACTATTTGTAACTCTAACAATATCTAATGTAGATTTTTGTTTTGAAATAGACATACGAGGTAATGATTTCTTGCTGTTATCATCCAAAAAATAATTTATTAAATCATTATATAATTCCTTTGGTAAGATTTTTTTATAAGATTTTACTTTCATCAAAAATTCCCTTGAAGTTAAATTACGAAATCTAATAAAAGGAATACAATGATGTAAAGTATTCTTTAAAGCATTAAAATCATCTTTTGAAAAGCTTGTAGGATCAGAAGGAAGGTCTGGATTTTGAGCGAGTCCCCATTTAATTACGTATTCCCATACCTGAATTTCTTTCATTTGAAGATTATCATTTTGGATAAGCGTGATTAAAAGTCTTTCCGGAATTGTAGAAAAATTTGGAGAATTAAATATCTTTTCTGGATCTTTAGAAATGAAATCAGTACAATATTTTTGAAGTTTTAAGAAAGAATCGTTTTCAAAGCTTGTCTGATATACTAAATCAAAATTTTGTTCCAACCAGTTTGTTTTGTTTATAATTAAAAAAGATTCTATATAAGGAATTAATTCTTGAAGGTTAAGTTTGCTAGCAATAACCAGGATTTTAATGACATCTGAAATATCATCATATTCTTCCAAAGAAAGTCTTCCCCCATAAATATATCTGAAAAAAAAAATCGAAACGTTTGTAATTAAAAATACAAATACTTTTGCGCAAAAATAAAAAAAATATAAACTTTGTACCTTAATAATATGTGAAAAAAATCGGGAGAAATATTTGGTAATTTAATACATGTTAAAATTCCATCATTTTCCTTTTTATTAGTTGATAAAATTCTGCGCAAATAAGGAGAACGATAATTTAAAATAACCATATGGGCACGAAATACTTTCACATAAGGGTCACTACCAACTTCAATTGTAATATCATAAAATTCTTCATCATTTAAAATTTCAAGTAAATTTTTTGATAATTTCGGTAAAAATTTATTATCAGCCATTACAGCCATTATAATCTTGAAAGAAAATGTGAGAAAAAATTTGGTCAAACTTTTTTTTTTCGGTCAAAATTACCTCCGTAAAGTAATTTAATAAAAGATCAGAGATGTGCAACAATAGAGATCATACGTTCCACAAACTGCATTTTGACCAACATTTTAATCATGTGCTTTTTAGACCTCATCTAAGGATTATCTGCGTAACATTTCAAGATCGCATTAAAAATGTTCCTTGGTAATGTCGTTACCTTATAAAAATTTTTCAGAAAAATGATCACATGTACTGTATGTCTGAGTTTCTTCGACATGAAACTAGAAAAATGATAATTTATCAGAGTTTTTTCCGAGAATTTTTTTTATAGGGTTAAATTACAAAACTTTATCCAAAAATAAATGTTATGCAGGAATAAAAAAAAACATGTGCGGATTAAAGCACTTTATTTTTCATCTTTACTAATTTTAAATAAAAAAAGCAAAAATGTTTATTACTGTAAATTTTCAAACAGACAAAATTTAGAAGTTTTTTAATTTATAAAACAATTTTTTTTGACTCACAGCTTATCCATTAATATTTTTAACTTAAACTTAATACAAGCTTAATAAAAATATCTTGATGTATAAAACATTTTTTATAATTTGCCAAATATTAAAGTAACTTTTTTTTCGTTTTACGATAGAATTTATCCGAATAACTGCTTTAACAGTAAGATTTTTTTTCTCATAAAAATACATAAATTTTCGTCGTTAAATTGTATATTTACTTGAAAATATCTTTAAAAATTTGGCCTTTAAGGTTTCGTATAATACAAAGGACGGAAATGATTATCGAAGAGGAAATAATTGTGTAAAATTATGGTTGTCAAAATTATGGAATTTATATTTAATCATCATATCAGTCATGTGGTCTCTATACCTCATTTGAAGTAGCGATCAGAGAAAAATTATAGTCATTGTTTGATGAAGTTCTCGCACCCGAAACCCTTTCGTAATTACTACTGTACCATTACCTTAACTGTTAAGTAAATATTTTGATGGCATGGAATTAAGATATCAGATATATTATTATTTTTTACGAATATATGATATATCGGATCTTATCGAAGGGTAGCTATCACTTCATTCAATGATTAATGTTTTTTTTTAAATTTAAAATCTAATATTAACAATTAAATTTTAAAAACTAACAATTGATATTTCTATTGAAAAAGGTTTTTGCGCATTTATTGATTTACAGTATAATATAATAAAGCATTATTTAAGAATTCTAAAGATTATTCATATAATGTCTATTTCAATATATCCCAAATATTAAATACGAAAAAACGAAATTATATTTATGTGTATTATATTTAGTTTAGATGTGAAAAGGTATTATTTGCGCTCTAGAAATTAATGAGAGATTTCATAGTTTGAATTGAAATAATGAAACCCAAGGTAACAACATCACATTGGCTATAAATTTTTATTTGAAGATATTGAAGGATTTGGAGTGCGTCCCTCTCGTATAAAATTTTGAGTTGAAGGATAGAACATTATAATATTTCGAAACCGGCCATAACGCTAAATTGTAATTCACTTGTGTGACTTATCTTACCTTTTATTGGAAGTCTCTCAAGACGATGGAGCACGCGAAAAAATGATATTTTAGGACAAGATTTACGGTATGGCGAGTTATTTATTCAGTTCTATAATAGTCAATTCATTGCTGATGAGTCTCGTATAAAATATAGATTTTTTAAATCTTTATTGTATTACATATACGGCAACATTATAAATAGTGTCGTACATAACTCAAATTGTTTTCTATTTTTAAATCATTATTATAGAACGAGATATAAAAACTATATAGTTATATTGTTAGAAAGATTTATTAAGTATTTCTTATTTTTAGAAAATTTTATAAATTTCCCTTTTCCCTTAATCAATTGCACAAATTTTTACCTAACATCTACAAAATAAAATATTATACAAATCTTGATAATAAATTAGAAAATAATGTATTTCAAAATTTTTTTTTTTTTTTTTTTTTTGATATGAAAGTAAATCATATAAATAATAACAATAGAAATATGATTTAAACAAAATTCTATACTCGATATATTTGTCAATTAATTCATAAAATAAGTAATTTAAAAATAGATAGTTTACCATTATTAAAATCAAATAGGATATTTTTTTTAGTTGTAAGATATATTAAGTATATTAAGTGATAAACATATTTAAATTCAGCTGTTCTTTTAAAAATAATAAAAAGGTTAAGATAAATAATAATATCATCTATTTTTTTTTTTGGAATCAATTAACATGTTTTTTATATACTATACAGTTAAGCAGATTTTTTATATTTTCATAATATGTACTCTCTCACTCTCACTTGTTGGTTATTTTTTTGAGACCACAGATTAAATGTTCACCAGGAACACAGTTTTGGCAACTTACACTCTTACACACTGAAGTCCAGATATTGGATGATAGTGAATTGGCATATAAATGTTCATTCTGGATAAATTATCAAAAAAAAAAAATATTTTACTGGTATTAGAATATAAATTTAACTATTTCAGTTATTACCTCCTATTTCATCACGATTACCTCCCTACTACAATCACCGCCGCCACCATATACACCATACAAATTTAATTCAAAATATAAAATATGAAAATTTATTAACTGAACTAGTAAATATCCCTAATTAATATATTGATAATAATAAAAGGTCGTAATAATTACATTATTATTCATCACGTGAATTACGTTCTAAATAGAGTGCCTGAAGAAAAAATAACATGGTATTCAAATTCTAATAAAAACACTGGCAAGGTAGATTGCAAAACTATAAGGAGAAAATTTACAAGAGATCAAATTGGAAAAATATATTTGAAAATAAATAGAAGTCAGAAAAGCAAGCATATACAACTTTCAAAGAGTTTTGAAAGATGGTTTTGAAATCTATAAAAAGTGAAAAGGATATTTAATTGTACAAAAAATACTAAAAACATAGCAGTAGAATTTGATATCATATGCTTTGAAGGCAAACAAAAGACAAAATAACAGGAGCGCGAGAGATCACACTATATATCAATCAAATAATAAATTATAAATGAGATAAATCCTTTGCACTTTAAATTTTATATAAAATTAATCATTACGTATGACATTCAAGGTTATCTGTTATGGACTATTAAATTGAAACCATATAACTAGAAAATTTGTAAGGCTTTAGATCAGCTCC